CGACCCGCGCGTGGGGAGGGAGGTCGGTCCCCCGCCACCCCCGCGCGGGGAGGACGATCCCCCGTGACCCCCGCCTGGGCTCCCGCCGCCCTTGGGATGGAGACCCGGGCGCCGCTCCCCACGCCTGCGGGCCAGCGCGTTCGCAGGGTGAATTTGGGAAACGAGCTGGTTTCCCCCACCAAGGACCGAGACGCCGGGGCGGTTAAATGGAGGAAGGCAGGGGGAAGCTCGGGGCTGGTGACGTTACAAACCTCCGCGGCGTTTTGAGCCCGAATAGGCTGCGTGGAGGGAAGGCCTTGGTTGGACGGGTCAGCGAGAAATGGTTCTTCCCGATGAGTTACGCCGGGTTGCCGCGGGCCGTTGGGGTCAGGGTGGCGAGGTGCTGGTTGCACAGATGAGAGCCAATGTCGTCTGCCGTGAGAAACGAGGAGGAAAGAATCCAAACAGATGCGGTGGGTTACTGCTGGGGCCAGCTTTTCCCGGGTATGCCTCTCCCTGCCCCTTTGCTGATGTTATGACAGGTATTGCTATCGAGATGGGTACTGAGGGAAGCAGTGGTTTTACAGCTGAGGAGCAGAAGGGATGGGTACCGAGGGACGCGGTGGTTTTACAGAAGAGGAGCAGAAGTAGCTCCTACGTGCAAAAGGTGGCTTGGAAAAAGGCAGGGGGGGCGTTTCAGAAGTAGGGAAAACCAGGTGAAAGAGGTGGACTGTTGGGGGGTGATGAAGAGCGAGGGCTGAAGAGCAATGGAGATGTAAGGAATGGCAGAAGTGTCTTGAAAGTAAGGATGCTGGCCAGGAGTAGTCGGAGGGAGCTGGCCCCAAGGACTGGGAGATGGGGCTGATGTAATAGCTGTAGTGCCAGCCAAGCAGGAAAATGTGAGTAGCTGCTCTTAAATCGATGATCGAAGGGCTGCCGATGCAGGAGAGAAAAATCCCAGTGATGGGGATACGCAGTGAGGGGCTCAGACGTCCAGACGGAAAAGGAGAAGGATTTGGATTAATCTAGTGAGCGCCATAACCTTAAAAATGCTAACTCCTTTTAAATAATTAATATTAATGCTGGGCATTTAAATCTAATTTGCTTTTGTTGTTCATTGTTTATTTATGTTGTTTATTCGCTTTGCTGCTCCAGCAGTAGAAAGCATTAGGTGATTTCACTTTTGTTTCCAATCACTTTCACTCCTTGGCTGTCAGGTACTTTCATGATGTCATGATGTTTGGGTTGCAGATGCTGCAGGGAAGTGTTTAACTCCAAACAAACTGTATTAACCAACTTCTTCAAATGTCATGGGAACACTTCTCATACCAACAGGCTTCGCAGCATTTTTCTGTAATTTTTTTTCCTCTAAATTCTATGAATACTTTTGGAAAGCCCTCAAGGGTTTCAGCTGTAACACTTTTTTAATTTTATATTTTGAAGGAAACAGCCTTTTTGGACAAGACTTAATTTCTTCAAGCTTAATAGCTTAGTTACTAGAATGCCAGTTGTCATTAACAGCGTTTGTAGTGATTGTGAAACAAAATGTGAGAAGGAAATGAGGTTACAAAGGAAACATCAGATGATTTTACTGTGAGCTCTTTACGTCGCTAGGACTGGAGTTCAGGGGAACTTTTTCCAACTGTGCAAACAGAAGCCAGCAGCTGAATTAGTCCACCTGAGATTTTTACTTGCACTGGGACAACCAACGCGGTTTTTTGGTACAAAATTACTGATTGAAATTTTGGAAGTCTGTTTGAATTATCAGTGTTAAGAAGTTGCTTGCTGCAAAATGACTATCCTGTGAAATGAAAGCCAAGATACATGAATTAAAATTGCTCTCAGCCACTGAATATTGTTCTTTTCAGAGAGTGAGGCTTAAAAGATGTTCGTTTATTCTTCTGTGCGCTCGGTTGCATGTGTGGTACATCTGTGTAACCAGAAGCATAGCGTTAATGTCTTCTGTGGTCCGACTGCTGAAGTCCAATTGTTCATAGTCATGTCACTGAATTAAAATTTAGAATTAAAATAACTTTAAAGTTTAGCTACCTTCGTACTGAAAAGGTTCTTTGAGCAACCATGTAAAATATAGTTAATTAAACCATTACTAGAATTTATGAAGTGATCTTTCTCAAGTGCCATTTTAATTGAATTTCTCCAATTGTCTCTTTTTCAGGAGACCTCATGGAAGGAGAGCTTTATTCTGCTCTCAAGGAGGAAGAGGCCTCCGAATCGGTTTCCAGTACAAACTTTAGTGGTGAAATGCACTTCTATGAGCTTGTAGAGGACACGAAAGATGGGATCTGGCTGGTACAGGTATAAAAATTTGATCATCTATTTTTATATATTTATCGCATCCAAAATGTGTTTCAAAGGAGGAGTTTATGAGGGTAGTTAACTAGTAGTAAAAGTGTGTAACAGAGAGGTGGTGACAAAGATGAACTACATCAGGGAGATCATAAGGAATAAATCTGTTCAAAAAAAATCAGAAAGGCTGGAAGTTACAGAGTTCCTATCCAGAAAGGAGGAAGAAAAACCCTGTTACTCTGTGGATTGCTTTTTGAAAACCGGGTACTTTAGAACCAGAAAACAAGCAAAGCAGCACAGCTTAAGTACACAGACTCTGCCAAGTACTTGGCCCTGGTATTGTAAGAGCTTGTGTAATGTGTGAAGTAGGTGCGTTAAGTGTAGGTGGCTCTTCTTTTTGGTTGCATTATGGCCTCAGACCCAACCAGTTTAAGTTTGTTTATTTAAGGGGCTTAGAGCACTTTTAAAATCTCTGTTGCCTCTTCACAAAGGTAAGATCTCAGTGTGCTACTTCTCAGGCTAGCGGGCTGCTTGTACGACATACTCTGGTAGCTTAAAGTTAACCTTCCCCCAAACCCTGTGGGCCCACTGATTTTACAGCGTGCTTCCCCAGGGCTGCACGAGAATAAGAGAACATTTAGGAAAAGAAAGAAAGAAAGACTTTTGCAAATAGCATTCTGAAACAATTTATCATCGCTCTTGAGAACATAAATAATCTAGACCAAAATGTAAAAATGCTTTTCTGCATCAACTTCTCTGTTGAAAAAAGAATTTTTTTTAGGCATAGTTCTCTGCTAACAGCCACATCAGACAATCAAAATTCTCCACCAGACAATTAATTGTTCAGTTGACAGCTCTCCTGCCTGGTTTGTCTGGTCTCCTCACCTCATGTTTTCTATTTAAATAGATTGTCAAGATTTAATGACGTCCTGTTGTTAGACCCGCACTGTCACCACATCAGATCTCACCCTAAAATAGACAATGAGAGGACAGATTATCTTCACAGTTGAAATGGCATTTGTGTTTTGAGAAAGATGTATTTGGAGTTTATTGAATCTAAGTTTCAGGTTTAAATCATACAGAAGGGGATTCTTCAAGCAGAGAGAGCGCGTTGAAAGGAATTTTATACATCTCCAAGCTAGCTGACAAATGAGCGTGAATATGCTATGAAAAACCTTCCCTCCTCCCCATGCAGCTCAAAAGAGTAAAATATGGTGGTTCTTTGTTGTCTGTTGCTTGCAGAATTTTAATCGTAATGTATTTTCAGCTAGCTTCATAATAGCAGATCAGATAGGCTGTGTTTTGATATTTCTAGTGTGATGAATGTTGTCATCATTCTGGGAATATTTGCACAGCTATTCAGTTGGTCACAATAGCTGTGGAAAAAAAAATTAGTGGAATTTACTGAATAATTTACTTGCTGAATGCTATTTGTCTGTTTCTCCACAATAAAAACCACTAGATGTGTCAAATTTCTTTTTTTCATTCTTGCCTTTCGAGTTTTCATCACTTGGAGTTTTCATTTGCTCCCTTCCCCACCATAGCTCCTGTCTGGATAACTCCTGTGCTGGATTCTTCGTGTCCCTTCACAGGCTTTCCCATGCTCTTTTCTTAGACCTCATCCCTGCAGAGCTGTTTTTTTATCATCACTTCCCTGTTCTAATTCTTGATTACCCTGCCTTGCCCATTCTCCTTTACCGTTAAGCATCCTGTGGAAACTTTACAGCTAATTAATCAGCTCGATGCTCAGGCAGGGGACAGTATGAGGGTGAGGATGCCTCATGGATGGGTTTGGTGACCGCAGACAAGGTCAGAGCGTTCCCCTGCTCTGTTGTTGCTACTGGCTGGGAAGCAGAAAGGATCTCCAGATCCTTTTCAGGATCCTGACCCTGAATCTCTGTTCCATGGGGGCTGCTGGAAAGCAGTAGAGGGAGAGAAACAGTTCTGGCTCAGCTAGCACAGTGGCTGTTGGTTGAGTTGGTTTTGAAGACTTCATGATGATGTGTGGGAGGATGGGGACTCTGAAGATGATTTTTATTTTCCAATGCATGTAAATGAAATTTCTGGGGTGGCAGAGGCTGGTAATGTGATAGCCACCACTGTCTGAAGAGAATCAAAGGAAAAAGAGGAAACAATTATTATTTCTTGGTGTGTTTGACACAAATTTGGAGGTGAATTTATCATTCAGAGCCAGCAAGATGAATTCCTTGAAGAAAGTCAAAGTCCATACTCAAGAAAACAGTGTTTTGTGGCTTTGTTTCTTTATTTTCTGGAAAACCACATGCAAAGCATCCAGGTTCAGTGGTAATTTGTTTACCAGTATAGCTGTTCACGGGTGCCCTCTGCTCCTACGTGGAGCTTCCGTAGGGCCATGGACAGCAGCATGTTCTCTCTCCTATTAGCTCATGATCTCATCATCTTTCCTTTTATGCCTTTCTTCTTGCTTGCCAGCTGCTGTTGTGCACTTCTTTGGCTGGCAGGGAGGATCAGTGGCAGTTTCTAGAGCTGCTTCTCTTGTTGGTAGAGGACTAACACGTAACGTTCTCACTTTTCCAGGCTCTGCTATGGCTCATGCTCTCTGTTAGTCTCTAGAAGCCTGTCACATCCAGTCATTATGACTTTTTAAAAACATACAGTAAATGATCTACAGATAAAAATCCTCTTTGAATGAAGTTAAAATCTAAATTAATGTATATTTTCATTTAAAAAGCCCCTACTGTAACATAGTGGTAGAGAGAATTAAAAGGGAACTTTCTTCCTGGCATTGAAGCAGGAGGACAGACAGTTTGGTCATGTCTGGTAGAGGTGCGAAGGGCATCGTTATGGATATCAAATGTTGCGGTCTATTCTGCATCTCGGCTTCTTGTTCAAGTGGTGTAGTCACAGAGCAAGGGATGTGCCTACAGGATTTTGGTGGTGGTTCGTTCGTTCGTTCTTTCTTTTGCTTGCATGTAGGATGAATAATTTTCATATTTGCCTTTTTAATTTTGCCAGGTGATCAGTTGTTCTCGCTACAAGGAAATTGAGTAGAAACACTCAGTTCTTTTAAAATACATCGTTTGGTATTTGTGTCTTTTCCAGTAGGTCTTCAGGATCGCTTACCATAGGATACCCGACTTTAACTTTCAGTGTCCTTCTTGAGAGTCTTCATATCCAGTCAAGGGTGCAGAATACCATCAGCTAGAATGTAATGGTACTCGTATTGCCTGCATATCTGTGTTAATTCATTACAGAAGCTCATTTATTCCCAACCTCAGACTTAACTGACAGCTTAACTGAGCTGTTCAGATTGGTGCATAGATCACCCCACCTCCCTTGAGAAACTACACGTAATTTTGAGGTGGTTAATTTTTGCATGCTACGATGGATGTAGTCTTCTGTCTTTGCCCATTTTGATCTCATTTCTCACGGTCTCTTTCTCAGAAAAGAAAAGCAAAAAATCTCCAGACATCTTTAGTCCATATGGATGGATTCTGAACCAGTTGTGAGTTCTTAGGAAAGAGCAACTATGCGGAAATTCAGTTTCATCAGCACAATGCCGAATAATAAACAGAGAGTGAGATGTCTCAGAATTAATAAAAGTACAGACAGTCATGTAGAAACTTATTGACGTTATCTGGAATAAGTGGGCTTTTTTCCATGTTTCTAATAAATAACTCACCAGTCCATTTATAATTAATTGTATTTCTAAATGAGAATTGTCCAAATGTTTTTACTTCTGTTTTATCTATGGGAGGATAGTTTGCAACATAGCTGTTGATTATGAAGGGTTCTATGAACAGCACATAAGAAGCTTAATTAATAGACCAGGGTTTTTTAACCTTTGTATCTCTGTGGATCCCTAAAAGTCTTCCAGCGAGTGCATGGACTCTTTACAGTAATATCAGGCTTCCTTCGCTCATTTACCCTCCGCAGGCACTGTGGAGGAGGTCGTGGACCTCCAGGGGTCTGGATATCTCAAACTGGAAACTGCCAAGCCAGACCGACAATTCTCACATACATACAACCTTACCAGTTCATTAAGTAAGTTAGAAATGGGTTTTGCCTTTGGCAAAATCACGCAGTTTTTTCCGATTCAAATGTCTGTACTCCTTCATGCGGAGACTGACTTGCTGAGGCTGGGCAAGGAGTGGCCGCTCCCGAGAGAACTGCCTGTACGTGTGTGTGTGCAGCAGGGAATGGTGTCTCTTATTTAATAGGTTTTGTTCTTCCTGATGGTTTGAAGCCTGTCACAGTGCCCTAGTGCCCAGAGTTGATGAGCACTTGGAGTTGTTGTCTTTGTGGCTAAGCTGTAAAACCAAGTTTTAACTAGTCATGCGTATTCAAAATTGTGTGCTCTTGGTATGAGCAGGTGTGCCCAGCACCTGGTATCCTGGCTAAATTCCAGTTTAGCTAATCCCTGAGCTTCCCTTGGATCCGCTTTCATTTGGATACAGTGTTCTCTTCCTTTCATGGCACATACTCTTAACCCATAAAGGCTGAGAGATGCTGCCAATGTGAATAGTTTTCCATCACAAAAAACACATATAAAAAATACATGTGCATCACTTAGCTCGGAGCTTCTGCTGTATTGCGATGATCTCACAATTCTTGCTTTCTGCTTTGAGTTCTTTTTTTAGTGTTGTTCCCATCTTTGGCGCAATGTAGCAAACACAAACGGAATGACTCTTCATCAAACTAGCAAGGCACAAGGGCTGTTGGACGTGCAAAGTAGACAATTCATCAGGATGTTTTTCCCTTTGGTGTTACTGAGGTTACTTTAGGTTCCTGAAGCCGTTGGAAGCAGTAATAACTAGTTTTAAGGGCTGATTTTAAAATGTCCTCTTTCAAAAAGCTGTCTGTCAGGGGTGTTCAGGTTCGGTGGGAAGTTACCCTTGCGTATACCGCAGTCTGCAAAGTACTCGGGTTGCTGCAAGTTGCTGGACTGGAGGCAACTTGTTAAGAGTGTGGTTTTCGTTCCAGACGGTATATACCTGGTCTTGTGCACAGTACCTTGTAGGGATTATTCC